CGTATACATATAGGCGCACGTGTCTTCTGAACACTTTACACGGGTATAATAGTATGTTTTTGAATTATGATTGTACACGGTGCACCGCGATATTTCGTTTGTATAGCGATAAATAAATAAAATATTGTTGAGCAGTCATGCGCATGACGTCGAAATCGTCATTGCAGTCGCGCATTATATATAGACCGCGCAGCATTATAGACGATAAAATATAATAATATAGTACAAGATTAAGGACGTTATATAGTAAATGATGATTATGATGTACTTACCTGAGGTCTTCTACGGAGATGAAAAATCGTTCGAAACAGTGTCATGTTGATATCGCATAACTACATAATATATGCGTGTGATGCATATACATAACATTGTATAATATGCGATAAACTCGCGGTGCAGGGGGTGCAAGGTGCAAAACTAAGTGCAGTAAAAAAAAAAAATGTCTAAACGACGCAGCAATACTTGCACGCACACTTGCGGCTGCTACACCGCAACATGATGATATTAATCTGATATATTATACAAGAAGCATCGCATCGAATCTCGCGGTGCAGCCGACGTGCATACAAACTGCACCGCGGTCGACGAAATATCGTACACACGCATTTAAAGCAGCATTCACACATGGTGGGCACTATACGACATCGTTCACAAGAGTCGGGACGAGTAACAACTCGTAACATCACGGTATAGCTAGGCGCACATTGTACGGCGAAAATTGAATTAATAAGTGTAAACCAGCTGTGTAAAGTACGATCAAGTGTGGTTTTAAGGTTTAAAAATGCGTTTCTTAACGGACTCGCAAAACATCATCTATATTGCAAAAACACACATCAAAAGTGCACAACTTTTTTTTCTATCCAATAGCCGCACTATATCACTCTRTATACATATGTATATTATTTACGAACGTCGATAAACAGTAGAAAACGCCACACCTGTAACTTATTTATATTCTGCTGAATTCTACATATATCCGTTTCCCGTACACATGCGGATGGGTATAAGTGCCTATATCCGGTAATTTATACTTCGGCGATCCCGCACGTGGCGGTATTTAGATAAAACAATAATGCAGTTTTTTTCAGAAGTTGGCCCCCGAAAACCGAGTCAAAGGCGCTAAACACTAAACACAAACACTAACCGGATTTCATATATATTTTTTTTATTATTATAGGTCACGAGTGTCTCCGCTCCCATTTCCCGCAACATATTTTGTTTTTATGATTTGCGCAGACCCGTATTATACAATACCTATACATATTGCATACATAATATAGTGCGTGTGCGTTGTATATATTATTATGTCATACTCGTGGTTTTGATTATTTCGCAATTTGAGTGTATTTTTCCCCATCTGTAGACATTTTTTTTCGTGTATAGAAATTAGTGGGTACCTATAGGTATACTTAATACTTAGTATAAACACTAGCATCACGTCGATCTAATATAATTATGATAATAATTGTAGATTTGATTATTTTTTTTTTTTTTCTCGTTTCCGATACACATAGGTAATTTATGCGAACTGAAACGCATAGATCTCGAGGACGACACGGCTACAAGTGACATGGTTACCCCCATTTGAGGTGTCTACCCTGCTGCGGTGACCGCTGGCCATTGTCGGATAAACCTTCAGCAGCGCAGGAAGAACTCGCCACGTCCGGCCCGAATTTCTTATTCCCGTACCTATTATTATGTCCAGTGTGGGTAATGTTTTCCGACGATATTACATGACGTATAATACGATATTCTGCACACGCTCGAAAATGACAACGGCAACGTACGATACGATACGCATTTCCGCYGCGCGCGCTCGCTAAAGGGGTCATCTACCGCCGCACGGCGTGGCACCTGTTGCACACGTCGTCCGTTTCCTATACGAATTATCATAATATCGTATTATTATGTGCAGCTCTTACAATAGAAAATCGCTCCGGGGCAGTGCAGCAGCTAGCAGCGAGGTGTGGGGCAGCAGTAGGAGTATCGAATGGGACGTACGCGTCCAAACGAACATCTGGTCGCGGTTTCGGGCTCGTCCTCCAGTCGGCTTTTCCGGCGAGGAAACCGCGCGAACCATCAGTCGTTCCGAAAAGTTCCGCCATTTCCGGTCCGCGGTCCTGGTGTTTCCACCGGAAACCGACACTACGAAGGCGAAAAACCACGAAAAAAAAACGTTTCGCAACGCGCACGTTCGGTCGGTGGCGCGTGGGCTAAACATTTTTTCACCGCGTGTGGGCACACTGGTTTCAAGTGTAACACACTATTTGAAAACTTCCCGTCGACGCGGGCCGCGCGCTGGTGGGCGTCTGCGGCGCTCACGTAATTATTGTTGTGCGGACGGACTCACCGGTAGTGGGCGACAATAATATCGGACATGAATAAGAGTGTGCGAGTGTTTGTGTGTGTGTGTGTAACCTTCTATACGGACTATACGTGTATATTATTATTGTATTACGATCGCATGAGGCGTGTGCGAGTCTGTATATCGACGCGTCGCCACTGCGAATTGGGAAACGAAATTAAAGAGAAAAAACATGTGCACATACTCGTATATAATATGTAATATAGGTACGTATTTAGGTGTATTTTATACACACGCATGAAACGACCGACGATGACGTCCCACGTCATCTCACACGCCCAAAATTTCGAAAAATAAAATAAAATGTTACACGGTCGACGTACAAATCATTTTTCGGATTTCCGAACGAGTTTTTGTCACAAAGCGGGCAGTACGAAACTCTTTCGATCACAATACTGCTGCTGTTCCTCGTCATGGAGGCGTTCACGATTCTTTATTTATTAATTTCGTAATAATGTAACCGCTTTCAAACGTATGAGGGACTGTGCTACGTGTAGAGTATCTTAGTGACGGCAGGGGGACACAATTTTAAAACATTTCGTTAGTCATTTTTTTTTTTTTATTATCGTTTATAATTTATAAATATTATATTACATAACATAATAATATAAGAACTCACAGTTGATTGTAACGACATATAACAAACATGTGTTCAACATATGACGTATATATTGCAACGTATATCATGTATATTACAATTATATTATTTTACCGATAAATATCACAGACTTGATAACAATGGTCTATAATAATAGCTATATATGTCTATTATAATGATGTGTAGGTAACACCTATATAATAAAAATTCGGACTAGACCAAATGCGTATTTTGTTATCGACAATAACGATTATGCATAAAGTTATAAAAGGCACTGTTCTTGTTTTTTTCTCTTAAACGTAAAAAAATATGTGTATATATTATATCATAATATATGCATAGAATTTTCTCTAAAATATCTTACCACAATAAATTAAAAATATATACTATGTACGAAAAATAATAAATATATAATATACAACGTTTCAATTTTTTTTGTTTTTTGTACAAAATAATAACTAAAAATAATACTATAAAAATATATATAAATAAAAAAAAAACAAAATAGTTTCATATTTACAAGAGTACAAGACGAGAGAGATGGAGTGCGAGAGAGAGAGCAAATAAATTCGCGTAATTACACATGATTACCGATAACTGCAGTTATAATTTATTTCTTATTTTTTTACATTCACGATTATTTATTAATTTTTTTTATCCTCTAYCCGTTTCTTAATCGTTACGCGATCGCAACGTACCGCCGCGCCGCCGCCGTTCTCACGACCTACGCACCGCCGATGCCGCGCCGCTGCTTACCGATCCCGAGCACGTATTCGATATTATTATTACACTTTATTATTTTATTATCAATATATATATTTGTATGTATAGGTACAATACGGCGCGGTCTGGTTTTTTCGATTATCGTGAAACGTAATAAATCCACGGCGATCCGTGCCCGTTAATCCCGTGGGAAAACTAAACGGAGCGGCGAAAACCGTCCGGGAAAAACGTAGTGATCGCCTAGGTCGCAGCCACGGCAGCAACCGGTCCACGCGCGTAGGCATAATATTGCTATCGTTGCGACCAGCCGTCGCCGCCACCTACGCACGTGCCCGCCGCCGCCACTACCGCCCACGCATGGCCAGCGTCTAACGTTWTTTTAATAATAATAATAATAATGACGAAGACGATAATTGACCAATCATCGGCGGACCCCCTGTATTTGTCACCACACCGAGAGACCCCCCCCCACGGAGGACGACCAGTCGGCGGCGTGTCACACGAAAATGTTGTTCAAAAACGTTCGTCCTAACCGTCGATTTACATAATATTTGTGTTCAACAACTCCCCCTTCATCCCACAACCATCAACTGGACCACGAACGACGTCATGCAGGGCTGCAGGAGACCGAAAACGGAACGCCGTTAGAAATTCTACAACGATTAAATCGTTACGATTTATTGTTTAAAAAAAAAAAAAAACATTCGGGACGGTGATGGTAAAAAAAAATATTGTACTTTCGATTTTGAACTTGACCCGGCAGTAGTAGATTTGTATTACAGTATAAGCGATTTATTTAAGCTCACATCATATATTATATTATATTTATTAACTACAACACAGCAAAAAAAATAAAAACATAACACACAAAGCGAAACGCACTGCAATCAAACGCGGACGAATAGGATTCTACTTTGGCATGACAATGTTCGGTTGAACTCATTGCCGGGGATAATCGCACAGTAATTGCATACTTTTTGGTAATATTATARTTATAATATATTTCTACTAGTACAGACATAATATAGTTCAGTCTATTTAATTTGTTTTTTTCAAAATTTGATATCCCGTCAATGTTGGTTCGACTGAACATTACCGCTGGTTGTGTGAATGGGACGCCATGTGAGGATATTGGTGTAATGGCAGCGGGGAAGTGCACTGTTGCTGATAGTTGGCCGTGTGCATCAGCGGGCTGGGACTAGATGAGGGTATGAGATGAGCAGGCGGGGACATGGCCATGATGTGTTGGGGATGGTGTTGCTGATGGTGTGGATGGTGGACAGGACTCTGTTGGCCGTACACAAACTGCCTTACTTTGGAATCGTGGTCGTCACCAATGTTGTAAGACAGGTCGGTCTCCTCGAATCCAGTTGCTGACATGCGTTGGTCTCCTGAGTTTGCACCTGATGATGACGGGCACGGGTCTGGTGAATTTAAGCATGTTTGGATAAGCGCTTTGCCAGCTTCAGAAGTAATCATAGGCTGTAACTTGCGCGTGGCAAACGTATACACATGTCCCGTTTCAGATGCTACTAATAGCATCACTTGAGTGCCTGTTAGTGTTGACAACTCGTAGGCCTGTAAAATAACAAAAACCATATAGGTAATTACTAATTAGGTAAGATGAATATTACTCAAATGACAAAAAATTAATCAATTAAATATTTATCACAGTATTTTAAAATGAATATAATCTTATTTTATATCAGTAGATACCTAATCATTTTTACATTTAAGCGCATTCATTATTCAGTGAACAGTTATTAAATACCTATGCTGTGTTTGTAAGTTTGTTTATGAATAGGAATTAAATATTTTACTAAAATTAAATAGTGGTATTTTTATATGAATGAGAATTATASATTAACATTCAAGATTCATGTCAACCATAGATGATTTAAATGTTAGTTTGAATAAATATAAATTTAATAYTATTTTTTCAATATAAATAATGCAAATTTGTTCTATTGAAAATTATTCAATTGACTTTGGAATGTTTAATGTAAATTAACCGTATTGAGTACCTAAATTATACTAGCAAATTTCTACATAAAACTACCTATAAATATTGCAGTTATTATTATAGGTACTAAATTATTTTTCTAATAGAAAATACTTATAATTAATTGAAGTACAAGAAAAACTAATAACAGTAATAACCAATTGAAATCTGTTTCAATATTCAGTATAAGAAAATCAGTAATGTGTTGCAGTTAGATAAAAAAAAACTGACCTATATCAGTAGTCTGGTTGTAAAAATATATTTATCATAATAACAAAAGTATGCTTGAAGTTATACAAATCTTTAATTTTTTTTATGAAAAAAAAAATAAATTACACTTTCTGTTGGGTACTATAGTTAATTAAATTTTTTTAAATATTTTATTTGTAAAATAATATAACGATAATAAATATTTCTGTGGGTATTTTTTCAGTTTATAACCTACCAAATAACATCAGTACTAAACTTAAGAAAATATTATATTTTAAATAAGTACAGGTGRAGTATCTAAGTAATGAAATGTAAAAAAATCCTTAAGTTTTTGCAAACTTAGTCTTATAGTTATAAATTAATTTTCCTGAATATAGGTAATAAGTTAACAGTAGTAAACTAGTAATTAAAAGCAATAGAAAACAAATAAAAAAATGCAATTATAAGAAGAATAAGCAAATATATTTTAAATTTGTCAAACTAAAAATGTAACAAGAGTAATCGACATAATAATGTGTTAAACACAATAAGATACCTACTTTTTTTTTACTATATAAAACTTATTTTATACAGATGGTGGTCTAAACATATGAGTATTTATACACATCTGTTAGTCAAAATGTCATTTTTATTATAACTTTATGTAGAATTTTTATTTTAAACATTAAWACTTTCATAGATATTTTAAAATACAAAAGTATTTTTTTTTAAATAATAAATAAAATGAAGAATAAATTGACCATCTGTTTGGTAATTTGAATCATGTGAAGGTCATTTTATTGTCTTATAAAATTATATAGGTATGTATCATATGATAGGCAGGTGTATACCTAGTATCTACACATAACTACATACAATATTTTATTTTCAATTGAGTTAAGGTTAACATAACACAGATAACTTAAAGATGGATGCCTACCTATACCATAAGTAGAAAATTAAAATAATTTTTAAGTCTTCGTTTTAATAAAAATCAACTGCAAATAAAATATTTTGATCTATAAAAGGGCTACAAAAATCAGAATCCTAGAGTAAGTAATAAAAATGATTGATAATTTTAAATTTTAAATTAATAAAGACAAATTCTCTCTCTCTCTCTCTTAGTGTCTAATTTATACCTATATAGTAAAGAAGATACTCTATAGAGTTAATAAAATCAACAGCTGTACGTAGGATTCAAACAAATGTCRAAACTAACCTTCTTCATGATACCGGTTTTCCTCTTGGAGAACGTAGTGTATCTGCGCAACTTATTCTCAATGTATTCCATTTTGATTTTTACACGGCCTTTGGTCTTCTTGCCATTCGACGGTGAAACATCCTTTACCGAAGGTGGCGAAAAATTGTCGTCGACCAACCGATGGTGGTCGGTTGGTTCATAGCACATGTTTGTGCCGGGGCCCAGCGATCGCTTGATGCCACGCTGGTGTACAGGACCTCCAGGACCGCATCCCATCATGGGTGGTGTACGGGACGTGGACGGCCGTTGTTGTTGACCACCAACGCCATTGTTGTAAATGTCCGACGGGTCCAACAGCGACATGTTCGACGCGTAACCCATGCCGAATCTATTGTCGCGGCCGCCACCGCCAGACGCACTGTCCATCGCTGTCCACCTCATGCACTTGACCGCCTACGACTGGTCATCCACGCACTACACGCACACGCGATGCGGTCAGCACCGGCCGACCGCARCAAACGGCAACGTACTATGTTATCTACGGGCGATTTTATTTTGGTCGGGACGTGAGGGACGAACGTCTGTGGTTCCAGAGTACGGGTATACGCGGCAGCAACAACTATRAGATAAAATTCAACAAAAATAACGAAAACAAACGTCACTGATAACAACGGCCGCGGCACTGATAACGGCGGGACACCGGCGGTGGTGCAGCTGTTGCCACTGCTGTGAAGATACGAACGGTTATGCCGTCGTCGTGTTGAATTCCACGGTCGCCCTCCCGCCACAGCACGAGCACGAGTAATTCGACCTGCGTTCGTACAATAATAGAACTAGTGGCGCATGTGCCGCGCGGTTTTTCTATTTTTAAAAATTTTAAAAAATTGTACACAATATATTCCCGACGTCGAGTGCGAGGCGGTGTTYCRGACGGGATCGCCGTCAATTATAATATATTATTATTATTATTATTATTATATTACATTGATAATAATATAAACACGGCGTATTTTTATTTTACACGGGTATGTGATCACACGCGTCGAAATCGGCGGACAGCGTTAATTGCCACGGCACTATTGCAGCCTCCCGCACACGACGACTGCCAAAACGAGCGTAAAAATTGAAAAATATATACGATGACTGTAGTATCGCACGACGTCGAATTTCTGTCGTAAAATATTTTTTTTTATTTATGTCGATTGAAAAAAAAAAAAAAAACGATACGGCGCGCGATAGTCGAGTCGTTACGGTGTGCAGCGCGAGCACAAACTACACGTGTGACACGTCCATGTGTAGACGACGGAATGGCGCAAGACGTGCTTCATATGATACCCACTACACACGACGGTCGTCGTAGAAAACGAGTCGTGTCGTCGGACCGCGGTCGAAGTCGAAGTCGTCGTCGCCGCCGGTCGAACGGTTGTGGTAACGGCGGCGGACGGTCGCGCGCGCTATCGTACATTATTATTATTATTTTTATTATTATTATTATTATTATTATTACATTGTATATTATTTCGTGCTGCCCCCTTCTACCGGGCCACCGCGAACTCCCCCGCCGCCTCGCTTGCCGTATTTAGAAGAGTTGCCCGAGCCAAATTAGGCAAACTTGACCATATACGGTGCGACCGTAGTACCTCCCCAACGGCGTTAAGATCCACCTTCCGGCGAATAATGCGCTTCCTATATAATAACGCGCGACCGTTCGCCATATTTTTTTTTCAATAATATTATAATTATTATTATTATTATTATTATTATTATATTACACATGGGTTGTTGTTGTTGTTATGATTAAATTATTAGTTTGATAATATTTAAAATGTATCATAATATACGTGTAGTTATTCAGACCAGTTCCTTCACTCGCGCTGCAGAGTTCTGAGCTCCGGTAAAACACCGGAAAATTTGACTGCAGGTGTCAGGAAGCAAAGGCAACCCCAGTTTAGGAAGAGTGACAATTAATTCGTTTCTAAACGCTGCCGACGATAGTCTGCATTTCTGCAAAATGCACCGTAACATGTAGAACGTAGTTTTGTCTTTTGGTACGTCAAGGGTTCTCGATTATTGTATATAGATTTGTTAAATTATTTTATTCTTTCGGTGGTTTGGTCGTCGATAACGGTTAAACAGAAAAAAAAACAATTATATATACACCTACGACAAATGACAATCATTACTACGTAGTTGTACACAACGGTAATATATATGCGTCAAAGTATATTATGTAAGATGTAGGTTGTAGCATGTAGGTAACATTCTGATGTGTCTAAGACCGAAAGAAAAATCTGTATAYAAGTCGTGCCAGACTTTTCACGTAGCCGCTTTATATTAATAGCGAGTTGCTATAACATAGAATGTTTTATAGTATACTTTTATATCTTTAAAYGAAATTTTAAATTTTGTATAGTGAATACTAAATTGTTTTTTCAATTCAAACTCTGCATGCTAATGTTTCATTTTAATATGTTTTAAAACGTTTTTTTATTTTTAAATATTATGCATTTTAATGATAGAATTTTATTTTATTACACTTAAATTATATTTTATGTTGATAAAATATCAAAAATCTGCACTTTTTAATTTCCTTTTAATTTTTAGCTAAATCCTAACGAATTTAAAATTGATAAAAACATCGGTACCCTCATTAGTTATTAATTAGTAACTGTAACGATAAACTCTAATGTCCAATCAATAAAACAAACGATTAATCTACCTCCAGCAAAACACAATACCCAATCATATTATTATAGGTACTCTAGCATAGGCGGTGATCCTTATTTTTCTATCTCTAATTTATCCAAATTACATCCTACAAAATCGTTTGAATAGTGATAACAATGGTAAAAACACAAATTGTCATACCTAATATTCGACTTTAGGAATTTTTAGAAAATACTATTTGACGATTAAAATAAATTATATGAATTACTTCATACCTATCATAAAATAAATTTAACATCCTAATATGTAATATAAACAGACTAAAACAGTATGATGCAAATTAGTGACAAATTACCGTCAATATAATGTTTATAATCTTTACTTCTTTATTAGTGTTCCTTTTTTTGAGTATGGATATATTTTGCGCTGGACGATAATATATATTATTATGTAAATGTGATTAATTATCAAGATTTTACAAACAACCCAGTGTTCGTGAAAAATTGATAAACTATGTAAACAATACAATGTATTTTTATATTAGAATATGACTTGTGAGCCATCTAAAAATTATACGGCTGCTCGGCTGCAATGATGTGATCCCAATTATCTGTTTSTGAAACACAGTACATTTTTTATTTAAGCCCTAATTCAGTGGCGTGTCATACTTCATGTGTGCGATGTGTGCAAATGCCGCGGGCCCTCGGCTTCAGGGGGCCCATTATTGTTCAACGTTCCACAACAATTTTTTATTTGTATGGCGTAATTTTATCTTATTTCTTATGTAATTAAAATTTTAATAAAAATGGAAAGTACCCTGTGGATTTGCATAGGATTTTATAATTTTAGAATAAAAATTCTTACTTTAAATTTGAATTTATATATCTATACCTATATTGTTTAATAAAAAAACGAAGGGGGCCTTTTTTAGTTTTGCACACAGGCCCATATCTTCGGGATAAACCGCCACTGCCCTATATAATTGTTATATATTTCTTATATTTATAACTTGTTTAGTGCATTTTTATAGTATGCCTTTATCTCATTTTAGATTCTGAGCGGAGCGATGAATGTATTGATTTTACCATGATGTGTGTGTGTTTTTTTTTTTGTGTCTGTCATCATGTTTTGGGGCAGTAAAAGTGCTTCGATTTTTGACTTCAGTACCTTGTTCGATCAGAAAGTGAATCTAGTTGGTACTTTGGGGGGTCAAAAGYAAAAAATTCTTAATACTTTTCTAAATAATCGAGAAAAATAAACTAAAAATTAAGGGGAAAACGGGAAATTTTAACAAAATCGATTTTTTTATTTATATCATAGTATGAATTACTGATTATAACCACGACACGAGTGATAAAATATTAAAACTGAAAAATCTCGCACTAACCAATATGAAAAACCGAGATATTAATTGTAGAAAATCAAAAACTCAAATTCTTCTGTCTGTAATTCATGAAAAAGTTCAAACCGGATTTGAAGAGAACTCATTAATCACGAATTTATTATTATTATTTTTATTTGAGTCTGTTAACTACTTGTGTTACAAATTATATGATATGCATAATTTTTTTCTGTACCTAAAATAATACAACCTGTAAACCATATACATTTTTTTTCTAATACCTGAAATAGTACAAATTGTCCGCCGTTTTAATGTTTTCTATAGGTGTCCGTAAAAAGTGTCACTCAACCTTAGACTTGAGTAGATACAAATGGTAATAGAATTACCTGAMAAGTGAAATTATTACTATTGTTCTAATCAATATAAATATTAAAATTGTTTCATATAATCACATATATACATATATATATAATTTATAGATACTTGTGCTAATAGCAGTACAGTCTATTTATTATTTTACTTTTTAGTTTTTAAATTTAATTACATATAAAAATTTCAAATATCCAATTTTTAATTTTAATTTTAAAAACGTTCACACGAATTTTTTAGATAATAATCAAATAATTTAAATAGGTACTTAAAAACAAAAATATCTATATTTTGTGCATGGGTTATGTTTCTTCCAGTAACCCCCCTCCACACAACACAAAAGTGATGTATATTGCAGAATATACGCCGCTGGTTATAAGTTTATAACCTAACCTATATTCTGAATTCTAAATACCTATAATATAATTACATTTACACAATGTGTTATCTAGGTCACCAATCACTAAATTTATATGTTCTTCGAAAAGAACTGTTAAATAATAAAAATTTAAACAATTAAACCGTCGTAAAACGTTTTCCAGCCGTGAATGGCACCGAAATCTTATAATTAGTGTAGGTTATAGACTATATAGGATTAATATTGTAGTACAGTCACTACTACGTAATAATTAATTGATTATACTATTGCATCAACACCTGAATATATTTTGTTATAAAAAAGCAAATAAGCTGTTAAATTTTGAATAGAAGTGGTTTGCAAAAAATATATTTTATAATTTGAATGAAATAAACACAATTATGGTAGAATCTGTCTGTCTCAGTGTCATACCTACGACTATTACCAAATATTTAACAAGTTACGTCCCTTAAACTAGACTCAAAATTACATTATCTTTAAATAACTATATAGACAGAGCTGGACATATATGTTTAGACACATTTTACCTCTGTTGGAATGTGAGGAGTAATTAATTATTAAAGTCTGCTGTAACATCATACTTACACAAATTTACGATAACTTAATTACTATTAATTAAAAAAAAAACCAATAACAGCCAATAGTCAATAGATACTCAAAAGTAGTACGATTCCTACAATATAATATAGTTTGGTGGAAATAACTAATACTTAGTAGTACTTAGACTTATAGAGATTCCCGTTGCATCTATTTAATATTTACTACACAACGACAAGTTTATATATTATTATCATAATGATAATGCGATATTGTTACAATGACTTACAAAAAACGCACATATATCATACTCGCACGATCTAATATTATTTTGACTCATCATTCTATACCTAACACTACATTATAATCAAACTATAAATAGATAGGTATATATATATTCAACTATAATCTCTCTTTTAAGCTTGAATACCTCTATACATCATAAAACTTTCATTTATTGGAGATCACAAGCAGATAACAATTATATGAAATATTGAAATGAATAATATGTACAATTATTATCGACTGTAAACATTTATCATTTTCATTGAATTATACACTCATAAACTTTATGGAAATGTTTTACAAACAATTGGAACAGTTTATTACATGAGTACGACGTGACTATAAATCATTCAATTTTGACTGCATTAAATCGTTATAATAACAATAAATAACTATAGATATACCTTATAAGTATATTAAGCCTAAAATATCCATATAAGTGAAAATAATATTTTGTTTTATGTTAAGAAATCACTTGTATTTTTTGTCAACTTTTTATAAACAACGTATAAACGAATATCTACACAGGTACATCATAAAAATATAATTAAAAATATTTATTCTAAATTATTATTATTTTATTTTACCATATAAAGTATAAACTAAATAAGTTGATTATTATGATAAAGATATTTATTATTTTGCACGATTTTGCTTAGGTGGAAATATTCA